ACACACACACACACACGCCACCACACACACACACACACACACACACACACACACACACACAAAACAGCAGGTTGCTGCAGGAGTGGTGCTAAATGACAGGGTTATCTTCACCAGTGTCTTTCCGTCTAGATTGCCTGTCTGCTGTGCATCTCTCTACAGCCGCTGTGCTTCTCGTTGTTGTGCGTTTCAAAAAAGAAAGTCATATCCTTAAAATGACCTTTAGCAAAGCCACCAGCATGTGGGCAAATCCTATAAAGTCAGCCCTGATTGGGACACACACACATCAAAGAGCTAATCATAAGCAAGAACATATTGTTCTGTGAACAACTTCATATCTCCAGGAATGTTGTCACACCACATCCTGAGTGTGCGTGCGTGAGGATCAGGATACGGGTAGATAAGGATAATTTGCAGTGGAGTTGTATTGTTCACACTGCCTGGTTAACAAGCTACAGTGAGGAACGTACATCACAGTGGGTTTTTTTCTGATTCAGTTGGTAGGTCAAAACTTTCAGACTCAGTCTTCTGTACTGAGTTGGTGTGGAGAGACCTGTTCTAGCCAATGAACCGGCTTTCTGTGTGCATAGACGACAGAGCCATAAAGTCTGTTTTCTGTTTCATTTGCCTGTTTGCGAGGCCAGAGCTGGCAGAGCCACAGAGAGTGAGGAGGAGTGTCAGGTTGGCTGCGGTTGGGGATGTTTGGCTCGGTGAACTTCTACCATACGGCTTTAGTAAAAGGTCATGGTCAAAAACCGAGCCTGGCTCATAAACCATCACACCCACTCTGACTCCCACACGGGTGGATAGAAGTGACAGACAAGGCAGACAGTCTGACTTCCTCTTTGGGGACAAAGCAGGAAAATGACACCCACATGAAGAAGGGGTGACAGACAGATTCACCGACTAGAGCCTCACCACACTCGCAGACACACACCCGGAGACCGTCTGAATATCCAGCAGCAGCGAGACAAACGCGGAGAGAAGGCGAAAGAACAAGAGTGAACAGTTGGTAATAAATTGTGTCTAGACAGACGCTAATGAAGGCAGCCTGACTGTGGCTGCTGCCAAAATTAAGACCTGTGAAGAGTGCAATTACGTGTGTGTGTGTGAGAAAGACTGAAAGAGAGTCTGTGTTTTTGTGAGCAGTTTGAGCAAGCATGTGCAAATTGGTGTTTGATGAATATAACCCTTTTAACACTGGGCCTTTTTTTTTACCCTCACTGTCCTTCTTTTTCTTCTCTCCCTCTCTTTCACACACACACACACAAGCAAACCACACCAGAGCAGCCAAGCAGAGCGTGTCCCTCACAGCTGTAGACGGCATTCAAAGTGCAAACTCTGACGCCGGCACAGTCTTATGACGTCAGTCCTTCAAAATAAAACACAGCTTTGCTGATAAGCCCTGAAAACCTGACTCGTCAACTTTATCTCGGAAAAAAAAGAAAAACTCAGAATCCCACGTACATAAGGGCGGACACAAAGATCCGAAAATAAACACCCGCCCTTGAGATGTTTGGGGCTAAGCAGGAGTAAGAAATTAGTGGGTTGCCTACTGCTGCAACTGGGAAAAAAGGATTGTTACGACAAACCTAGTCCTTGATCTCCCAAACCTAAAAGAATAGTAAAAACTAAGAGAAGTACAGTGCAAGAGGTCCAAATCCCGGATGAGCCCCCATTTATGTTACAACCCGGCTCAAAAGCTGCAACATAAATATGGAGACTAACACCAGAATGTCACAAAGAAGCGGTTTTATTTGAAATTACATAATAATGCTACCACTAAGACATAGACTAGTGTGCCTTCCCACCAGGTGTGGTGAATTAACAACAGCTGAACACTCTTGCGCTGCCACTGCAAAGAGATTAGGGGCTACAGAGGGGCGTAATAAGGATAAAAGGACATTAAATGTGGAGATTTAATAAAACTAACTGTTACATTCACAGCTATTCAAGGTTGCATCAGTTCATCAAACTTTATACTAATCATTACTTTCCTGTGTGTTTTGAAACTGTTCTCTAGTCAGCTGCCTACAAACCACCTCTGTAATTCACAGGTTGTGCGCACAGGCTATACTCTACAGCTCTCACTAAACAGGGTCATCACAGGGATGAAGAGGTTGGTTGTGCCGATCACTGAACATTACGACATTCCACCGTTTCACTGTG